CGAGCTCTTCTGGAGCTCCAAAATGATGTGGTTTTTTGCTGGCACTTACTGCCTCCCTACGGCCTCTTGATCTCTTCAGGTATCGAAGCCTGAAGCAGTTCAACGTGGACATCTGCCAGACTTGCTTCCTCACCGGGCGAGCCAGCAAGGGCAACAAGCTGCACTACCCCATCATGGAGTACTACACCCCGGTACGGAGCTGGGCTGGTGGGGTCTTGGCTCAAATCACGTCCCCATCGACAGCAGCAGCATTGAGCTGTTTGAGGCTGGTGCAGCCCCAGAAGTGGATCCCTTTGTATGTTTTTGTTCCCCGCTGCATGCTGGCGGTCCCTGCTGTTCTGGGGCTCCTGGTGAGCGGGACGCATGGCGTACCAGTGCCCAGCTTGGCTCGTGACAGGCTGACAGAGCTGCAGTGTGCCCTCCCAGCTTCCTCAGTCGTGTCTGCCTCTTCCTCCGTGGAGCTTGTGCCCAGCCTGAAGGGATTTCTCTCCTGCAGACGCTGACCTGTGGTCCTCCGCTCTTTGTTAAGCAGTGTCTTCGTAATGTTTGTGTCTCTGCAGACCACGTCCAGTGAGAACATGAGAGACTTTGCCACGACGCTGAAGAACAAGTTTCGGTCCAAGCAATACTTCAGCAAGCACCCACAGAGAGGTTACCTGCCTGTCCAGTCCGTACTCGAGGCTGATTTTTCGGAGACGTGAGTTGGCTGTGCACCGAGCTGTGTCTTTTGACGCTGCCTCGTACATGGACTCCACAGATTAAAGCAGCATCTCAGTTGTGAGGCAGGACTCACGTGGGAGGGCTGGAAGAGGCGATACAGCACCTAGTTCTTGGAGTAGCAGGGATTTCAATCTCGCTTTCTAGCTGTCCCCGGCTCTTCTCTGCTGTGCTGAGCCCAGGGCAGCCACTCTGAGCCCTAGCTTTGAGTGAGGACTGCCAAGCCTTGCTGACCAGTCTGCTTCTCTTCCAGACCAGCCTCCTCCCCGATGTTACCGCACGCTGACACCCACTCCCGGATCGAGCACTTTGCCAGCAGGTATCGCCACAGGACAAGGAGCGTGACTGATGGGTGTGGAAGTGTTTCTGGGCAGAAGCACGATGAGCTCCTGCTGCCTGCAGCCCCCTCTACGCTTCCCAGCACGCTGCCTGCGAGGCAGAGGAGGGCTGCAGCAGCTCGGGCTTCATTGCTTTTGGGAAGAGGCAGCCACAGGGCCAGGCAAACCTGCCTGCTCCGTTTTGCCCCTCCCTGGGACACATTTGACAGCAGAGAGACAAAACAGCTTCTGCGTACCTTCCTGCTCTTTGCAGTACAGGCTGCTGGCTGGATTCTCCCCAGGCAGATCTCTCAATGTCTTGCTCTGCCGGTGAGCTCACCGGTGCTGCTTGTGCTCTTCCCGTTGCTGCTGCCTTGTGGTTTGCAATGCTTCTGCCCTCACCGTGGGTCCAGGCAGAGCGGGAACCCGAGAAGCACAGGGAAGCCTGTAGCTCAGGCCCTAGGCTGGAGCTGGTACGCTCTCATCCCTTTGCTTCTGCCAGAGGAGGCTGAGCTGGCTGCGTGGCAGCAGCCCTTTATTTCAGAGTTCGTCACCCCGGTGCAGCAGTGTCTTTTGTTTTCTAGAAAGACAAAACTCTAGAGCCTGTAAAGAGGGGCAGACTGGTGCAGGCTGGCTGAGAGATACCCTGCCAGAGAGGGGGCTTGCTGGGGCTGCCATAAGTAGGATGCACTGAGCAGACAGTCAGGGTGTCTCTGACCATCTCTCAACCTGTTTCTCTTTCCTCCAGGCTCGCGGAGATGGAAAGCCAGAACTGTTCCTTTTTCAGCGACAGCCTGTCCCCTGACGATAGCCTGTGAGTTCTGCCTCCTGTCTCTCCTCCTCACCTCTTGCTGAGTCAGAGCTCCTCTGGCTCCATCCCTGCCTAGCCAGGGCACAGAAATGCTTTCCTTCACAGCTCCTTTGACTCTGAGGCTGTTGGGCACCCCCAGCTACCCTGGGGATGCTGAGCCACTTCTGAGATTTAGACCTGGAGCAGCCAGAATGAGCTCTGTTGTGAAACCGCCTCCCTCTAGGCTGTCCTTCCCCAAGGACACACAAATCCCACGAGACAGATGTTGCTCACTAAGATGTTTCTCCACCTGCTGTGACAGGGATGAGGACCAGTACCTGCTGCGCCATTCCAGCCCCATCACTGACAGAGAGCCTGGGGGCAGCCAGCAGGTTTCAGGAAGCCTCAACATGGATGACAAGGGAGAGCTGGAGCGAATCCTGGCTCACTTAGAGGATGAAAACAGGTAGGAGCACGGGTGGGGTTTATAGCCTTGGGGCAAGTGGCGCAGAGCCAGGGGATAGCTGCTGGAGCTGGACATGGGGGTTGGACGAGCTGAGTGGGCTGGTTTGGAGGGTGTCTCTCCCGTCCCCGAGCCCCTGGCAAGCAGTGGTGGCGCTGCTCTGGACCACGCAAGGTGAAGCTCTAGGTAGGGCAGATCAGCTCAGCTCATGATGAAGGAGGTGCTTTCCCTGTCCGTGTTCTCAGCCTCTTAAGAAGTAGTTGCATGTCTTTTTGTAACCCATCTGAGTGGGGCAGAGCTGCAGGCAGGGCAACTCTGCGGTGCAGAGACAGAGTCCAGGAGCGTGTTGGTCCTCAAGCTTCACATGTGGCAAAGGCTCCAGGGGTGTTTTGTCTCCGAGTTCCGCGCCATCCCAGGTGCGCGGCTGTCGGGCGTTTCCAGCAGTCTCGAGAAAGGAGAGCAGCGATGCTGACTGAGGCTCTCCTGCAGGATCCTCCAGGGAGAGCTGAGACGTCTGAAATGGCAGCATGATGAGGCGGTGGAGTCTCCAACCTTGGCCACAGGCTCCCCTGAATCGGTGCAAGACCCGCGTAACGATGAGCTCTTGGCGGAAGCACGAATCCTCCGGCAGCACAAGAGCCGCCTGGAGACCCGCATGCAGATTCTGGAGGACCACAACAAGCAGCTGGAGTCCCAGCTGCACCGGCTGAGGGAGCTACTGCTGCAGGTACTCTCAGAGCAAGGATTTGGGGAAAGCCCATCCCTGGAGTGGGCTTTGCCGCAGCAGAGCTGGGGAAGCGGCACAAAGGGATGGTCAGAAGTGGGAGAGGGCATGGAGGGAGGGTTGTGACAACTCTCCCTTCTTTCTCCAGCCTCCGGCAGAGTCGGACGGCAACGGTTCTGCAGCCTCTTCCTTGGCTTCGTCACCACATCAGTCTGAAGGCAGCCAGGCAAAGGAGAAGGAGCACAACACCCCTGACACTGAGGTTGCAGGTGAGGATTGGGCTCGAGCTGAGCTCTTGGCCCAGCTCCCTCGGCTCGATGCTGTCCCGCAGAGATGCTGGCTGGGGAGGTGGATGCCCAGACAACTACTCACCAACCCCCTTGCCCTCTTTTCTGGTCGCAGATGAGGTGGAAGCCAAAACCCACGAAGTCAGCGTGTGCCTGGAAGACATCATGGAGAAGCTGCGGAGCGCCTTCCCCAACTCTCGAGGTACTCAAGTGAAATCCCCCTCTCTGGCCTCTTACTGCTCCCTCAGATGAGGTTTTCCCCACGGACTCCTTCCCCGAGCCCAGCTTCCCTGCGACGGCTGATCCCCCGCAGCGTCTACAGCCAAGAGCTATGCTGCCACGGTGCTGCCGGGACTGGTGCGTGGCCTGGGTGCAGAGAGGATGAGGAGGTTTCCCATCTGCAAGGGGAGGTAATCAGAACTTCCAAGACTATGGACCAGTTAGATCTCCTCAGATGAGCTGCAAGGCAGCCTCCTGCAGTGCTCGGGACCCCAGACCTCACGGGGTTCCTCACTGAAGATGGACAGACCTGCCAGCATCGAGCTTGCAGTAACCACCTTGAGCCACCTACTCACTTCATCCTTGTCCAGAACCCTCTGCAGAAGAGGCTGAGTTACCTGTGGAGAAGGAAACAATTGTGGAAGCTCTTCTGGCTGCTTGTGGATGGCTCTTCCCAGCAGGGATGGAGACTGGGGGA